CAGTTCACCAGTGCACATTTAGGTGTTATATATTAATTTGCTATATGAAATCATCAAATATCTCTAGTCCGCAGCATAAGGTTTTAAGCACTGATCAGTTACTGACGGTGTGAAACTTTTTTAGCCAGCTAGTAGTATATCTATATGACTACATAGTAATCTGGTAGTCAGGTTGTTTTCAGGCATTGCTGTCCAATTGTTGACTGCGGCATAAAAAAACAAAAACTGGCCACTTGTAATCAAAGTTCTGTTGGATTATGTGCCTTTTAAAACATGCAATACAACATGGAACTAATATAAGCAAATGTTTAAACAGTATATCTCAAACTGGGAAGCATAAATAATTGCTGAAATCAAAGAAACAATACTTGCACAAAAAATCTTTCCATAATAGGCTTTCAAATGGCAAGTGTAGACAGACATTTGTTGTGTCTAGACGTAGGCCCAGGAGGCAGTCATGGTCTCAGGGTAAACTGGTCTCACGGGAGACGTACTGTAAACTTATCATAGTTCCATTGTGTTGGAGGTATGCTGAACTCTAATGTAAACATTGGAGAGCATGCACACAGTTTTGACTAAAAATACAGAGGAAAAGAGCACTTCTGCACACCAAACATAGTGTGTGTTGACATAGACATTAAAGGGAGCATGGAGCTGGGAATGTGCACATGAAAAGACTGCTAAGTCCAAGTTTACATAATGCGTAAAAGTGGATTTAAAAGGCGTGTGGTTACTGTTACAACTGTTACAGTATATGCAATCCAGACAGCTATGAACATTTTCCATTTCAAATTACTTTGACTGTTATTCGACCTGAAAAGACGCCAATCCATGTTTGGGAATTCTAAGCTGTGTCTTATCTTTTTCTTTATGTGTGGGAGACCATAACATTTGTTGTGTCATTTAGAGGACACACAAAACAGGACGTAAACTAATCACTAGCTTTTACTTTAATTGTGGGTATAATTAGGACATAATGATTACAAAACTGATCCAATCCATGAATTCCCCCTGAAGTGCTCAGACATGGACAGAGATAACAGGGTGTCTACACTTGTCCCCTCTTTATCTTTTAGTAAACGGTTCGATTTTTCACTTA